TTTTAGAGCATTCCAAGAGGGATAACTGAAGTTTGAGTAGTCTGCCCGGGAAAGCTTAAGACACCCAATAGGTGGAAAAAGTAGGTAAGCCTGTAAAAGAAGGTAAGGTTCAGATACTGCAAAGTCTTTTTGAGAATAGGAGTGATATAACTGAAATGTGCTTTAGAAATGTTATGCTAGCAGTAATTTGTGGGATGGAAAGGAAGTGGGGAGAGTGCCACATGGCAATTTAAGTTTGTATACACTTAATTGTTATATATTTATTATATATTAATTATATGCTTATAATTTATATACCCTTGCTACATGAAGATAAGTACTTAGGAATATTAAATATCCTGCTAAAAAATTTTTTTGGCTAATTTCATACTATAGTTACAAATATTGGATAAGAACTAGAAAATAATTCAAAACTATCTAGATCTTTTTATATACACACAGGAATATTCAAATGGCAGTGGGAAATGCAAATTTTAGGTTTAACTTGCTACAGAATAAAGAATCTAGTTATCACACTCACCTACATAAAATTTTAATTTTATATCTATGTCAGGCTCAGCAAATATATCTATGTGATCAAATTTCTCTTATCACTCATTTTTGTAAACAAAGTTCTGTTGGAATACAGCCACACAACATTAGTTTATATATTGTATATGGTTGCTTTTGCACTACAACGTTAGAGATAAGTGGCCCACAAACCCTAAAATATTTAGTACCTGGTCCTTTACAGAAAAAGCTTGCTGGCCCCTGATCCATAATCATGTCATACTTTATTCAAAATGGAACAAAGCGCCACCACCCCTACAAGTGTAGTCACTATATATAATTATATTCTGTAAGTTTAGGTCATTGCTGAGTGGTTTATAGCAACTGAAAGAACAGTATTATAAATGAAGCAGGCAAAAGAAAAGATTTAAAGAAAAATTCAGTTTTAAGCACTGTGGTTTTGATACTGATACCAGTATTACAAAGACTTCATCAATTTCAGTTATTAAATTATTATGAGAAAAAACTACAAAAAGAAACATACTTCTTAGCAAATTTATTATGTAAATGATAATTTACTCAATATAGAGAAGTAGGATGTGGGGATGAAATGATTCTTTCCTGGATACATATACACAGTGAGAAAAATAAATTGTGGCAGCATTATTTTCAAATATACACTGAATATAAAGTATATACATTAAAAATAATTATTTTCAAAAATTCCTTTATTAGATAAATTCAATTAAAAATTGAATGACTCTACCTTCCTTTATTTAAAAAAAATGGACAGACTTTAGCTCTTACTCTAACAACACTCATTTGATCCTCCTTTCTTCTGCTAAAGGAGGAAGGAAATTGGTTTCTCCATTTTAAAAGTGAACAAACTAAACATTCAAAGGTTAAGACTTATTCAAGGTATTGATTCCTGTGTTCTTTGTACTATATTCATTGTGGGTTTAAAGAATTTTCAAAGCTGGTACGTTAGAAGCCAGGAATGTTAATTTCTGTGGGTATGGGAGGGGCTCCCATATTAAAAAATCCATTTTATTTATATTATAATATCAAGTAGGTATCTGCATCAGGCTCTTGTAACAGAGGCTTTCATTCACTATTTTTAGACTATAAGGGAATTCAGTATGTTAGGGTAAAGATCGATTCTTTCATAAAATGGAGAATGATACACTCTGGAGTTATAAAAAAAAATTAAAATTTTGATGTTTGTAATTACTGATACTAATATGCTAACAACACGTAAGGTGTGTTAGTTGATCTAATTAAAAGTTTTCACAATAAAGTATTCTTTGGCATTTAAATTTAAAAGGTTCCACAAAAGGTATGTTGCCTGCATAGGACCTCCCCCGACCCCTGAAGAAATAAATAAGGTAATGAAAAAAAAACTGGGAAGCTAACAGGGCAGGATGAGAATAGGACTGATATTGAGCCCATCTTGTAACACCTAAAGATCGAAATAAGGGTAAAAGGGAGATTAAACAGACATGAATATGAGTAGGTTTTCTTTGTACCTTAACAAAAACTAGGTAGTTGACAGAGCAAATAAAGTCATTACAAAGTTTAGGTAACAAGAATTTGAAGATTAAGTAGCTCTTGAGCTAGGATGTATTGGTGGGAACATAAAAGATAAGTACCCAATTTTAATCTACACACAAAAGCTTTTTCTTAACATGGTGGCAACATAGTTTCTATTGATTTAAGAGGCATTTAATATGCTCTCATTATGTACAAGGTATGGTGCTAGGTACTAGGGATACAGACATATCACAGAAATCAAATAAAATATTATCAATGTCACATTACATTTAATATGCTCATACAAAAGACAAAAATAAATAAGTAATCTAAATTAGGAGTCATAAATCTATACCTCCACCACATATTCAAAATTTATCAACTTAAATCATATTCAAGGAATTTTATATTACCCTAAAGAGTGAACATTTTATATATGAACATCAGGCAAAATATTTAAAAGATGGAATTTTATGGCTCTTCCAAGAAAGGAAAACCTATCAAGAATCTTGGCCCTGGGAATCACCCACAAAGTATCCCAGCAATATTCAGACTAATTCCTCTACTTAGAAAAACACCAACACATTAAGATATGTGATTTTCTGCAAATCTCCAAAGAAAATCCCAAGTAATGTACTACAAGGGTCAGTATTCCACAACTGGGTTTCATATACATGTAATAAAATATCCACTAGTACACAACATTGCTATTGCTAACTTAGTAGCAGAGACCTAAAATAAAACCAAACATAGGACATTACTAAAAAAAAGATAGATACAAATCCTAAGATATAAATAAAGCCAAAAGATATCTACATGGCATTCTTGAAATGAATCCAAGTGCTGAAATAATATACTTTTGATGAAAAGCTCTGCTTGTTATAATTGCAGATGTTAATATTTGTGTATGTATACACAGACATTCACATGTATACACACATACACATTTCACTCTTATAGGCAGACATGCAGATAGTCTACTTACTCACTAACATGACCATATCAGGTATATACATTGTGTTAAAAGTACACATTATGAGAAACATGTATTAACACTAGAAAGGCATTCATAGACAATGAAATTACATGTGAAAAAATCATGGGAAACAACACAGTAATTACTAATTCGGAGTTATTTTCATTTCTTGATGTTCTTTAAGCAGTTGTAAGAGACTTTTGGTTAGAACAGAGCTTAGAAAGCAAGGCTAGAGTAAGCTGACAGAGGGCAGGGAGAGAAAGTTTGTTCAGATTAAGGGAACAAGACGGTACCACTTTCCATCTTTCTGACTCCTCTAAAATTGTATAACTGTACTATTTATAAATATAAGCTCCTCTCAAACTTTCACTGAAAAATTTTAAAGAAAGTCTTTATCAAAAAGAAAACAATTCTGGTGCTAGCCCCAAATTCTACCACCTCTTTTACATCAACAAGAAATTCTGAAAAGATGCACTCAAGTTAAGCAATAAAGACTACTTATTAATAAAGGCCAAAGTCTTAATTTTTTGTAGGTCTGCTTGCCATAATTTAAGAATTAAAAGCTTCACTAAAAGAGTACAAATATTAATGATTCAGAAGACAATCTTTTTTCATTTTTGAAAGACAAAACAAAATAACAGTGAAAGAGTGAATGTTTGAAGACCAAGTAAGAATAAAAACAGATTAGCCACAAGTCACTTCCTTGAATAAAGAGTTCTTTACAGTTATATTAGGTTTTTAAAGAGCTTTCAGAAAGACAAGCCATAACAGCATGTTACAAAAATAATAACCATCACACCTTTTATATTTCCTAATACAACACAGTACTGCACAATATAACTTTCTGTGATGATGCAAATGTTCTCTATTTGTACTGTCCATGGTAGCCAATAGGCACATGTGACTACTGACAAAATGAATTTTTAAATTTTACTTGACTTAAATAAATTTTAGTTTCAATAGCCAAAAGAGACTATTGGCTACCACACTGGACAGTGCAATTCTAGATTTTATACATTTGTTTATAAGTAAGTATAAATCTAAGGTCTTAATCTCTTTCACAGAATTGCCTTCAAAACTATATCTCAATCTATTTAGATTGCATAGGCTAAATAGGTCTTGCCACATAGTATCATAAAAGAATGTTACTTTAATGGCTATGATACAAAGGAACACTAAATAATATTTTCTGACAAACTGCCATTATATTTTCAGCCCTTAACATGTCTCTTCCTCTAACCCCGAAAACAACCTTACTCAAGTAACCAGAGAATTTAATTCAGCAACCATGCAAAAATAACACCAAAAACCCCACACAAACTTAAGATTTAACTCAATTTAAGAAGTAAATGCCATCGCCTATTACCTTTGCATAAAAGGGAAAAACTATCTGTTTTTAAAATATAAAACATATTTTACTAACCACCTCCTCCACAAAAAAGGGAAAATAACTTTTTATGTAAGTTTTTAAATTATACAAATTCAAACTATTCATCAATAATTAACTCAGAGATAGGTCCATAAGAAACTAGTATTATATAAACATTTAATATTCTTAAAAGCATTTGTAATATTGATTCTTATATACCATACAGCTTTACTGAGATGCTAGAAATTAAAATTCAGTTACTTCACTGTAGAATAGAATATCTCTATAGTCAAGATGAAGTTTTAGAGAATTGTTAAATACATCTATTCTAATATATCTTTCACTTGATTAACGAGCAAAAACATATGAAATAACTAAACAGAAAAATAACTTACCTCTGTATAACCAAAACAGCAGTAAAATTCATGACTATCGTGAGCACAGTTCAAGCAGGGGTGGGAAAAAAAAATTTACTGAGAACTTTTTATCTATGTTCCTGAAAACAAGACACTGTTTTACAGAAATGTTACAGTTTCATGTAGCAGCTTTCTAATTTTTGTAAATTTACATCTTTTTATACTTAGTAACCTTAAATCCTAACTAGAATACAAGTGACATCAGTAGAAGTATTCTTACCTTTATTTGACTTTGATGGTTTATTCTTGATAGGTTTAAGGGAACTTCTTGATTTATCCTCTCTATCTTTAATAAGTTTCTGAACATCATCCAAAGACAGTTTTTGCAGAACAACTACCGGCTTAGCTCCTTTATTTAGATCTTCAACTAATCCCATTTTTTCTACTTTGTCTTTCTGTTCTCCTTTTGTTTCCATTTTCTTTGTCTCCTGTGTAATATTGCCATCTTTATCCCTCTTGATTTTTGGAATGACAAAATTTTTCAATGCACCAGACCTGCCACCCAACAAATAACTTGGAAATTCTGCCTTATTGTCAGGATGTGCTTTATTACTATCTACTTTACTCTTGTTACCCTCTGTCCGTTTGTCATCTTTACTATTTGGTGATTTAAAACCAGTTTTATCAGGTCTTGATTTATTAGAATCTCCTTGTTTAACACGAGGACTGTCAGGTCTTGATTTTTGTTCCCCAGAAGATGGTCTTTCCCTCGAACCCCCTGATTCATGTCTGTGTTTTCTTTCTAGCTTATCAGTTCTTGAACCATCAGATTTAATGCCATGTTCGTTTCTACTAGAGGATCTCAATGTTTCCGGTCTTCGAACCCTAGACTGATCTCCCCGATGTCGCTCTGATTCACCCCTGTCATCTGATTTTTGTTTACTATCATGGTCACGTCTTAGTGACTCAGAAATAGATCGCCCATCAGGTCTCTGCTTTAAGGCTTCAGCTCGTTCTGATTTTAACCGAGGTGAGTCAGATTTAATATCCTGTTTATGTTTAGACACGTCAGGTTTTTTCTCTGTTGACAGTTTTCCAGAATCCCTCCTATTTTCATGCCTGTGTTTTGGTGTTTCAGGCCGGCCTTCATTTTTTTGCTTTGGAGTTTCAGGCCGGCTCTCACCTTTTTGCTTTGGAGTTTCAGGCCGTCCATCACCCTTCTGTTTCAGGGTTTCAGGATGCGCATCACTCTTTTGTTTTGGAGTTTCAGGCCGGCTTTCACCCTTTTGCTTTGGGGTTTCAGGTCTTGATTTTGTTGTTTCTGACCTGCCATTATTTTGTTTGTTGTCATTTGATTTTGAGTCAGATAGTCTATTTTCATTCTGTTTAGGATCGACTATGGTGCTCTCATTTTGTTTAGATTCAGGCGTTCTGCTCTCATTCTGTTTAAGTTCTTCTGTTTGGGTCTCAATTTTAGTTTCTAACTTACTTTCACTTGATTTTGTCTCTACCAATCGGTTTTCATTCGGTTTAGATTCTGACAATCTACTTTCATTTTGTTTCATTTCACTCTTTGAAAGCTCAGGATCAGACTTTTTTTTAGGTGTCTCAGGATGGTTTTCTGGTGTAGATTTAAGACCTCCAATAATATCTTCCTGAAGAACAGAAATAGGTGCATCATTACATTGTTTGATTTCTTCAGGCTTTTTTATGGAGTCTGAATCCTGAGTTACAGAAGCCTGAGAGTCCACTCTTCCTGCCTGATGAAGATCAATGCTAACCATTAATGCTGGCCTTGACCCATTTCCCGTAGAACCCGTCTCCTGAGAAGCTGGTCTATTACCTCCTGTAGCACCCCCAGCCTCCTGTGGGTAAGAATCTTGTTTTCTTTTTTTCAAAGGCTTATCTGAAATTTAAAGATAAATATTCAATATCAGTAATAGACATATATTCTTATCTTATTAAAAACCATATGGACTTTATCTTTTCAAAGTCAAAATGCTTTTTAAAAAGTAGTAAATGCGAATGTAAATATGTATATATAAAATAGTAAGCATAATGAAATAATAGTTTTAAAGCCAAGATTTGAGGAAATATTCATGCTTGCTGAACCTCAATAAATACTGGTGAATACAGTAAAAAATTTAGCAGCATACTTTTTGAGTATTAAGTGTAAGACTATAAAATGAATAGAACTTAGAATACCTCAAAGACAAACATATATTTATGTTCATATATGTTCAAGAAAAACCAGATTCTTTACATAAGAATAAGGCAACCAGTTATAAATCATATATTCTCATTTAAGATAATTTTAACTACTAACAAAAAACTACAAAGAATCCCAAATCTGCCAACACACCAAACAGGAAATATAAGCTTTTAGTACATGTAAGATAAGTATGAAAAGAATAAAAACTGAAAGAAAAGAGAAATCATTCCACTGGAAAAAAAGGTAAATGAGAGTAAGAAAAAAAAAGAATTTAATAATTTGTTCTTACACTTAGATTGAGGATTCACATTCTTAAGGTATAAACAGCACAAATGGAATTTAAAAGCTAAAACACAATGTTAGAAGTAAATTTGGAATAAGAAAGCAATATATACCATAGGTAAAAATCAGAAGCACATTAAGGACTTTTTGTATAAATCCTGTCTTAAGCAACTACCACTGAAGAAAAATGCTTCTGCTTTTCAACATGAAGTTCTAGGGATTAATATATTGGCTTCAGAAAGAAATAATTTGCAGTATTCTGAAATATAAAGACAAACACACAAACACAAATCCACCACTGCAATAAAATGTCAAGGTGTTTTTAACATCTATATATTTCTGTGCATGATTCCACTTCTAACTCAAGAGGCTGCTAGATCATTTTCCTTTTTTTTTTTCTAACCGGTAAGGGGATCGCAACCCTCAGCATAGTGCTGTCCGCACCACGCTCAACCAGTGAGCGCACCGGCCATCCTTATATAGGATCCTAACCTGTGGCCTCGGTGCTACCAGCGCCGCACTCTCCCAAGTGAGCAGGACTGGCCCTGCTAGATCATTTTCTAAAAACTGAATCTCTAGTTAGTCCTTGGGAATAGCTACATTATAGCACCTTGAGATTTTGTCTGCTCTTCCTAACTTGCTGAATTGCTTGACTATGTTTTAAAAGTCATTGTTAGTCATTTTAACAAGAGAACCTCTAGATTCTCTCATTCACTAATGTAACATATCTTTTAAAGAAAACAGTATTACAAGGTTAGTAGTCAAACTGACAACTGAAAACAGACCCTTATTGTAGGCAACCAAGTTCTGAAATTTTTTTTAATGGTAAGGCTTCTTTTATACACCAAAGTTCCACCATTTTGATCTTAAAGTGAGAAGGAGCAGTTCATGTGAGTTTAAAATCTAATGAAATGTGATTAAAATTTACTTCAGATATTTGCTAGTTTTTTTTTTTGGTAAAACTAAGTCATTCTGCTCCTTTAGTTATCCAGAAGTCAAATCTATCATAATACATGCTCCATTTGCAAAACTACATAATACAGTTAATAATAATAATGGGCCGAACCCGTGGCGCACTCAGGAGAGTGCGGCGCTGGGAGCGCTGCGGCGCTCGGAGCACCGCAGTGCTCCTGCCGTGGGTTCGGATCTTATATAGGGATGGCCAGTGCGCTCACTGGCTGAGCGCAGTGCGGCCAGTCACAAAAAAAGACAAAAAATAAATAAATAAATAAATAAAATAATAATAATAAAATATATTATTAGAAATGTTTTCCCTAGTTAAAACTAACATGCTAAGAGAGCCGGCCCGTGGCTCACTTGGGAGAGTGCGGTGCTGATAACACCAAGGCCATGGGTTTGGATCCCATATAGGGATGGCCGGTTCACTCACTGGCTGAGCGTGGTGCTGACAACACCAAGCCAAGGGTTAAGATCCCCTTAATGATCATCTTTAAAAAAAAAAAACAAAAAAAAAAAACTAACATGCTAAGAATTTATATGAGGCTTTCTGCATAAATTCCTCAGAAAAAAGCCCTCAGAATGTTAAATTTACATTCACAGACTCCTCTTTTTGAATGTTCTGCCATATAAAATAATCTTTCTATCTTGCCATAGGGCACATCTAATAATTACTATCTCATAAAGAGGATGCTTTATCACCTAATGCATTAATCATTTATGACAAGAATCTAGAAATTCAAATACAATATCCTAAGATTTTCTATATTTTCAATGAAATATGCTTTGTGAAAGTCATTAAAATGATAACCTATGCATACTTAAGAACTACAATGACATAGGTTTCAGGCATTTGAAGATCTTCTTAAGAGATCTTTGGCTCATCTTTTAATTAACATGAACACTCTGTCTTTCAAGAAAAACTTTAAAATAGCTTAGAAGACTGATCTTAAGAGTTTATAGATCAGTAACCTCATTCCAATTCACCTTTTGTCATTAAAATGAAAATTTAGCAAATAAGTTAATTTCAATGACACTATCATGTTCAATTTAATGATCTTTAACTATGGATCTCGTGATTATAATAAAAATGTATGAAAGCAATTGTACAAAATTGTACGTAAGTAATACACTAAGAGTGGGAAAGATTTTATAGTTTTTTTCCCTATACATAAAATATTGCTAAATACAAAGTTTTAATTTTTCAACTATTGAAAAGTATCTTCACCTCTTCTGTAAAACCTGGAAAAATTCCATCACTGTTGCAGGGATTCTTGGATGTTAATAGCATGTACGTTCTGAATCACTTAGTCTGATTCAGTTCCACCATGAACTTACTCCTGTAAAATGGCTCTGAATGTGTGCAGGTCACTTTTCTCTATCCACTCTTGTTATCAGTCTTCATTATATAACAACTTTCACCTAATGATGGAAAGCCATCTTTATGAAGAAATCATTTTAGTATTTGAGACACTGATTACCTTTGAGCCCTCTTCAGCATTGGGAACCATATGATTACCTATGAGAATGCATATATTCCTGAAGAAAATGCACACAGAAGGATTACCATAATTTCAAAACCAACAACGCTTGTCATCCAGATGTTGATATTTTGAAAATAAGATCCAGCACTTTACAGAAAATCTGAACTCAATCATGCTTATAAAAGACAAACTATACCACTTACTTAGATCTACTAAAACACTTAAAGCAGAAAGCACAATAAGTGCATATATAGTAGCCATTTATGAAAAAAGAAAACATCACACCTCTAAAAACACAGTACAGTCTGAGTGGCTAATTGTCTTATTCCTGCCCAAAATCCCAGTCTCTTATTCCAAATGATGGTAGGCAATAATTGACTTCTTATAAGGGTTACAGTGCAAGAATATTGTAACATTATAAAAACATTAGTGAAGCTAAGCCATTCCTTACACTTACTAACATGGAAAGTGGACCTTGGGAAAAAAATGAAACAAGCAAAGATAACAAAGGAACTCCCACTCTGACAAAAGAAAGCAGGAATTTTCAGCACATGAAAGAGATATTAATATCTATGATAGGTCATCCCAGAAGCAAAGATGCATGGCCTTTTAAAATTAATTTAAGTAATTACAGATGTTAAAAGTATAAGCAAAAAGATTGAGAAAAAGGTCCTTTTGGAATATTATAAAATATTAGGTTACAGAATTATCCTATCAGTGTATATATAGAACTGTCCAAAGACGGGAGAACAGGCCAAAGGAACATAAATATCTAGCAGCCACAAAAGTGTCTTCAATGTATATAACAGGGGTACATCACATCCTATGGAAAATATTTCTTAAGACTACTCTTACTCTTTCCTAGACTTCTAAGATTATTAGCTATGTTTGCTGAACTTTCTAACCTTATTTATAAGGTGTAGTTTCTGGACTTCTGATTATTGAAGGGAATACTACTCTCATAGCAAATGAATATATTGGGAAACAAACTTAGATCCTAGAGCAGAACTCACCATAAAACCATGTAGACCATACAAGTGGTCTTGTTTGCTCCTTATTACCCATAATACAACACAGTAGTTGTAAAAAAGTTTTCAGTGCCAAATCTTAGAATACATTAAATGTCAATTTTAGAATTTAGACCTAAAAAGTAAAAGTAATGACAACTAGTAATGTATTAATTTTAAGAAAGTATTTCCTCTCTCAAGTGCTAACTATAAAACTACCACTTCAGAAGAATTTCACTTTTATTTTTGATCTCACCTACAACCTTGGAGCAACACACACGTTTAATTTTTCCAAAATCTCAAGGTAACTGCTTATATAAAAAATACTATTCCACCACAGAATGCAGAAATTAAATGCAAAATGACAAAGTTCAATCAAAGGTGTTAGGTCACACCTAAATTCCAAGTTTTCAAATAAATCCACAAAATAATAACACAGATTTCAGAAAATAAGTTAGAAATGACAACACTAATATGAAGTAAGCAAAAACTACTTAATCCTTATAGCACCAAATAACTGCATTTTCACCAAAATTGTAAGCCAACTCTGTTCATTTAACTTTCCAGTTTTCTTTGCTATAGCCACACTATCACAGATTACAGAGAAAACTATTTAGATAATAGAAAGTAAAATATACAAGTTTCCGCAAGAACAGTATGTTGTACTTGTTGACTTTGTTTTATTTTCTAAAAGAAAAGTTGGTAGTATAAAATAAGTTTCCTAATATGCAATTAGACCTATTTACTACCCCTATTTTCATTCCATTTTTCAAAGTAAAAACTTTGGTTTCAGCAAATATGATACAATAAAATTTCATGAAAGTAAAAAAAAAATTCACCATTTCATCTGTTTTTGTTCCTATCAACAACTAAAAATCATTTAAAAATTACACTTCTTTTTAAGAACATAATTTTCCGTAACACAGATTCAATGTCATGCAAAAATTCAGCTCTCAAGGCAACTAATATTTCTCGGTCAGGCAACCACAATTTTGTATGTTTCTTACAAAACTGACTATCACAGGATTCAGGAATTTCGGGTAGGTTAATATATTATCAAGAGAGGCTGAGTAATACTGCTCTTTTCGCTTGACATACATATACTTCTATAAGAGGTTAGAGGAAGAGAGATACATTTTGGAATCTATAGTTATTTGTTTCCTGAACCCAGACTGCAAACCACAGAGAAAAAGAACAAGCAACACTTTATTTCATTCTTAACATCAGAGATTTTCTAGTAAAAAAAAAAAAAAGTTCCAGTTCCTTAGACAATACTATAAATCTCTTTACTTGTACCTATTTATGATTTACACACTTTGCAAACATTAGAGTACAACAATTACTAAATAGTCTATTTTTTCAATGACATTAAAAAGATCAATAGACAAGGGACATAATATGAATCTTCAGCATGTTTCTTAGAATGAGAACATAATTATCTAGTGATGATCATGTCACATAATGAACAGGACCACATATAAAAATGAGCTCTACCAAACGTCAAGTTTTGATTTATAGTTACCAAGAAATAAAATATAAGAGCTGTAAATCAACTTAGAATATTTTAATTGTAAAATTAAATCATAAACTGTGATTTTGGTTTGGATGATCGAATGTGTATATGCATTTATAAAGACATCAAATTTTTTTTTTGTCCTTTTTGAGACTGGCCGCACTGCGCTCAGCCAGTGAGCGCTGTGAGTGCACCGGTCATCCCTATATAGGATCCAAACCTGCAGCGGGAGCGCTCCTGTGCTCCCAGCGCCGCACTCTCCTGAGTGCACCACGGGCTCGGCCCAAGACATCAAATTCTTAAGTGATATTACTAATTTCAATCACTGATTCATCGGTCTCTCTTAAAATATTGAAGTGGTTTTGTACATTGTGTACACCAAATAATCAAGAATTTAGTAGAAACTAATTTTGTTTCATTATAATTTAGAAAGCACGAAGGAAGCCCATAGAACAAGTATGTCTTAGAACTCCATCCTAATATGAGGGTACTTCAAAAAGTTCATAGAAACATTTGTTTTATCTTTTAGTTCTATTTTTCCACAAACTTTTTGAAGTACCTTCGTATACTAGTCAGGTAAAAGGGAACACAACTGTAATCACCACCAAAAGACCCTTGATTTTTAAGTTTGCTATTTAACTAAAAACTCCATAACTTGTTTACTAATAAAAAATAAATTAAAAAACCACATTATTAAGGGAGTAGGATTATAAACTGAGTGAAATATTTAACTTCTTAATAAGCTGACATATAAACTTTTCTTTAATGTACCTGCTTCAAAATAATTCCATAGCAGTTAACCTTATTTTGGCCAAAAAAAGTTGAAGATGCACAACTTAATATAGTTATAATATATAACTTGTGGATATACATGCGACATAGAAATCTCATTTAGTAGAAAAGCATGGATAAGTAAAATCACATAGTACATAGCAGGTGACAGACTTGCAATAGAGAATTACCAATCTCAGATAGCTGCTTCAGATAAAAAATCAAGTTAAGAATTTAACTTATGAGGTATAAATATTAGTAATAAAAATATACTTGAGGAGAGAGAAAGGATTATATAAATATAATGAGAAAAGAAGAGTAACTTAAAAAAAATTTTTGACACCATAATTACATATTTGCCCAAATGATGAAGTGATAATAACAAAATTATTTTACCTTTATCTTGAACTTCTTTTGAGAAGCGCTCCCTTTCAATAGCTGATTCTCTCTCTATTCGCTCAATTTCAGCCAATGCATCCAATTCCACTTCATCATATATAGGTCCCTGTTGTTGATTCTGTACCACAGAAGTCTGGGGTTGTTTTGTAGGAACTGAAGTGTTCTGCTGTAAAACAGGCACTGGATTTGCTGGAAGGAATGCTGTTTGTTCTTGCTGCGACAAACACTGAGCAGCATTTAGTGGGCGGTTTATATCCTGTGGAGTAATGGGTGTTTTTGAAGTCTGTCCTGGGTACTGCACATTAAAAGGAATATCATTTTCTGAAACATTGCTATTTTCCATACCAGAAAGCATATCCTCTTGCTGGTCCATGTCTGAAGATCTTACACGAGAAAGTCTTAATGTAAGTTTAGTAGAGTCCTTGGATGGAGAACTAATTATATCATACATTGCAGCTTTCTCACTCTGCTCTTTTTCATCCTTGCCTAATTTCATTTTCTTTTGCTTCTTTTGTTTTCTTTCTGGAGAATCTAGCAAGATGTCTGGTGGAACATCTCGAGGTGATGAACAAGGTAGAGGTTGAGAATGTAGGATTAAAGTTGGTCTTGATCCTAGGAAAATCAATTCGACAGAAATAAACAGTTGTGCTGATTTCACATTTCCAACAGTGTGATAGAAACATTAAATAAGTGACTATATAGTAATGCTAGAGATAATATTAAGAAATTGTTAAATCCAAGTCACTAATTTTCAAAAGATGAAAGCCTACAGACTTGTCCCACACAGTTTTCCAGCTTGCTAACAGACGACTGAGGTGTGAATCTAAGTATAAGTATTCCATCATTCTGAACAGTATTACTTCTATTATTGTACTTATAGAGTAAAAATACTTAGCTTTAAAGTGGCAAAAGAATTGTTTCTAATGATACAACACAAATATTTTGGGCATGATCATCTCTATTCTTTTACCGATTACCTAGGAAAACCAATATATCCTAATATCTGAAGTAAGAGATTACTTAACACAGTACAGTGTTAAAAATAAACTAATCGAATGGAAAAATTCTTCTAATTAACAAGCTGTTAAGTGAGAAAAAAGAGTACTGATATGCTTCAGAAATAAAAGCACAAGTATATCTGAATAATGTATACATTTCTTATCATTAGACTATTTACAAAATATTTTAAAACCTGTAGGAAATTTTAATAATCAGTCAAGATAAAAGTGCTTTACAGAAAGAACTTAAACCTGGATCTGCCTTAAATTAAGCTTTCAGTGTGTATACACACACACACACACACACACACACACATGTATATATATGTATATATGTATATATAACTTTTCTATGATATATAAATCTGAACTTTGTTAGTAATGTTACTACACTTAAAATGTTAAATATAAAAAATATAACTTTTAAGAGAATTATCTATTGAATAAAGTGTGATAAAGATGCCATGGGAGCAATTTACTATAAATGTTAGTTTGAAGTCATATCAAACTAACAAGAGATTTTTTTCTTTATATTAAACTTACATGAGACATTAAAAAGAAATAAAACTAATATTTTTGAATCATTTATTTTAGGTGAGAGCTGTGCAAAATGCTTTATTTTCAAATCATTTCATTTTTACAATATTCTTGAGTATTATCACCATTTTGCAAAAAAGGAACAAACTTCGAATTCTAACAATTCACCTAAAAATCAAATTAGACTGACAATGCACTCACTTTTCAAAACTAGTTTGAAAACAAATTCATAAACAGAAGTTCAGACTTCTGATGAATAACGTACTCATGAGGTTATCTGATCTAAAGTTTTCTGTTTCTATCTAATGCCGGACAGCTAGCTAGCTCTATCTGTTTATCTATCTGATCCCAAGAGTTAGAAGAAAAATGGGCTGGTTACGTAGATCAACCACCTATCCCCTTGTTATCCCTCTCTGGCAGTCTAAATAACTTCTCATTCTGACAATATTTGTAGGATATGTACCCAACTTTGACGCCTAACCTACAAACAGTTGCTTTTGAAGTTGTTCTCTTTTTCAGAAGTTGGGTTTTTATCCCTGAAAATTCATACAATTACAGAAATGGAATGGCTCATAAAAGCTCAACTTCTAACACATAAAGAATGTCTCTGATCAAATAGTTGGAACACAATCTGTGGAAAAAAATACCTTTACCATATGAGATAAACCAGTTCATGTTTTAGATGGCTCTCATTAGAAATTTTCATGGATTAAGAAAATGTTATCAGCTATGTTGCAATTAATTATAAGCTAATTTTTAAAAGTGGAGTACAGTATTCACTACCAACATACTCTGATAATTAAAATTATCAGACTGTAATTTTAAGCATTTTTAAAAATAGCCCAAAACTAGACTTAATTCACAATTTTGTGAATCTGTTATAGAGAGAAGACCATGCAAATGTCTTTGGGAATTCAGAGATAAACAAAATAAAATTCATGTATATAAGATAGTGTCCATGAAGGATACGTTTCAAGACCCCTAGTGGATCTGAAACTGCAGATAGTACTAAATCCTATATACAGTTGTCCTTCAATATCTCGGGGGGATTGGTTCCAGGACCTCCCGTGGATACCAAAATCCATGGATGCTCAAATCCCTGACATAAGATGGTGTGGTATTTTCATATAACCCATGGACATCCTCCTGTATGGTTTAAATCATCTCTAGATTACTTGTAATACCTAATACAATGTAAATAGTTATTATACTATACTGTTTAGGAAATTAAAAAAAAATCTGTACATGTTCAGAACAGTTCAGTACAGATGCACTTTTCCCCCCTGAGCATTTTTGATCTTCAGGTTGGTCAAATCCACGGCTGCAGAACCCAAAGATTCGAAGGGCAGATTGCATACTATATTTTTTCCTATACATACATACCTACGATAGTTTAATTTATAAATTAGGCATAGTAAGAAATTAACAGTAATAATTAATAATAAAATAGAACAATTATAACAATATACTGTAATAAAAGTTATGTGAATGTGGTCTCTCTTCCAAATACCTTATTTTATGTAATATTTTCCTACTGCATTTGATTGTAGGTAACTGAAACTGCAGAAAGCAAAACCGTGGATAAGGGGAGGACTACTGTATAGAGTAAGTTCTTAAAAAAAACCCAAAAACCCAAAAACTGATGAATTGAAGAGATTAGGGGAATGTCCATGGAAAATCACCCGTTTCATTTAGACCTGGAAGAACAGACAGAATTTTAATAAGCAGAGATAAAAGCAGATGTGAGAGATTTAGGAGGATAACTTAGAACAGGCTAGCCTGATAAGTGACTAAAGAGTTGAGAGAAAATTTTATGATGATTTCAAAATTTTAAATCAAGATGATTCAGGACTTGAATAACATAAAGGGGAATAGCAGAAAGGACAGTGAGAACAATTTTGAACATAAATTTGAAATACCAGCTATAGATATTAAGGAAGTTTTGTCTAGAAATGAAGACTTACAACCTTGGAGACAAGACTGAAGCCAGAGATTGATTTAGGAGTCCTGTTCAGGAAGTAATCAATGGTATTAAAAAAACTGAGTAAAATAGCTAATAAAAAAGTAAAATGGGAGATAAAAAGTCCAATGATAAAAACCCTGAGTAGGGAAATGAGAGTAGGGAGAAGAGCTAATGAAGAAAAATAAAAAAAAGAAATATCAAAGAAAGAAGCAGAAGGAAAATAGGTGAGCTTGATATAAAGTAGGTTTTTCTGCGGGTATAGAGAAGACTGATCAAAAATTTCAAATGTTTAAGAGAGGTTAAAAAGGTCATGGTTTGAAAAGACCATCGGATTTATTAATGAGAACAATACTGTATATATATGAGAATACTATCAATAGTTTACTAGGATTTAAAGAAAGTGGGAATTAAATAGGGACAGATTTAAATCTCCTGATCTAAACTTGCTTAAGTACAAGTCAATTTTTTTCTACAATGAAAAATAATACAGAATAACTTTTTGGTATCTGTTTTAAGGAGTTTAAGTTCTTGAAACATTAAATATGCAGAAGGGAATTTTAGTTACAATAATACCTTTAGGAGTTCCATCACTTCCAGCAGGGGAGCATACTGGCTGTGGAGATCTCAAGGGAAAAGATGCAGCATTCCTCATTGTTGAAGAATCTCCATCCTAAAAATAAAGTAAAACGTTTATATCTTGAATGATAGCAGAGGTTTTACAGAAATCTTAAAGAAAACCAATAAAAGACAGAAATGACTGGACAAGTAAAGTGTTGGAATTCAAAAGCGTAATTCTGGACTTTCCTGTCTTCTTGGTATATTTTAGAAGAACTGAAACTATCCAAAAGCATCAACAGCCTAAGCATGGCAATGAGTAAGAAAATTGGTATTACTAGTACGCTCCATTTTTGTTTGCTATTTTCTTCAAAAGGAGCTGTGAACACCCTACTAAGTTGTAAATGTCTTGAGGGCATAGTCCACTGTTATCTCTGTTATGCCTTGACACATGCGGCTTACATAAAAATACAATACAACCAAATCAGTAACAAGACAAATTTCCAGTATGTGAAATATTTTAATAACATCAAGGCAACATTCAATTTCCAGAAAAAAAAACTCTTTATTTTATACAAGTTTTAGAGGGGAAAAGAGCCAAGTACTAATAAATAAAGGTTCATTATTTAAAAAAATATTCTGGTATCAGCAGTTTTAGCTTAAATCTTAAATTATATTTCATTAAAAACCTAAACTTCTAGAGCAGGGGTCAGCAAATTTTTTCCAGTAAATAGATAGATGATAAATATTTTAGGCTTTGTGGGCCACATACAGTCTCTGTTACACATTGTTCTGTTTTGTTATTGTTGTTGGGTTTTTTAAAAAACAATTCTTTAAAAATGTAAAAACCATTCTTACTTTGTTAGTCAGGCTAGTGGCCATAGTTTTCCAACCCTGTTCCAGACTATGCTCTGTGGGTGTTGAAACCATACTGTATATAGCTAGATTCTTAGTACCTAGTACAATTCTTGATATACAGTAGATAACCTTTAAGTTGTGGAATGGAAATACTAGGTTATATGACAAATATCAGAACTATTTTATTACCTTAATGATAACTAATATATTACATACGTCACTACTTAGCCTGTGCACCATGTGTAGGTAGTCCTCACTTGAGCCATGTCTAGGATTATCAGCATGATGATTAGCTGAATTGCCAGACAACGGACCAGAAACTTTATTATCATGTATGTTTCTCAAACCACCTGCAACAATGGGACTTGATACTGATGCTGAAATTAAAAAAAAAAAAAAAAAAGTTTTATGAAAAAAACTTAAAATTCTTAGAGAATAAGTAATTGTTCACATGATATATTTTAAACACACAGAAATTTCAAAGGATAATATAACAAACACTCATGTACTGATTACTCAGTTTGATCAAATCTTAACACTGCCAGATATCATTCAGATCTATTTTTGAAAAGAAGTAAAACATTACAGATATGCTGGAAGCTCTCCATTTATCTGTGTATTCCTCTGTTCCCTTCCCTTTACTTCCTAGAGGTAATCACTATTTTGACTTTATAGATTTCACTCTACCTGTGCATATCTTTATACCTTTACTATAAATGAATATATTCCTAAGCATTGTTTTGTACATGATAACTTTATATATGGTATATTATGTATATATCCTTCTATGACTTGCTTTTTCATTCAATATTATATTGAGATTTATCAATTTTTATACATGTAGTTTTAAATTATTTTAAATAATTACATATATTCTGCTGCATATATGTACACTATCCATTCTTATGCTTGACATTCATGTTGCTTAAAATTTTTGCTGTCATAAATAATGCTGCAACATATATTGTCATACATGACTCTTTTTACAAATGTGTAAGAGCTCTAGGCACCAATACTTATGGAGTGAAACTGTTGGATATATATGCCCATTTTTAAACTTCACTAAATATTACCAAATAGCTTTCTAAATTATTCATGTACATTTGTATTCATTAGTAGTGTATGAGTTCACACTGCTCTATATCCTTGCCAACAACTTTTGTCACTCTGAGGGTGGAAAATGTCTCTGACAGTCACTTTAATTTCCTTGATTACTAGTGAAGCCAAACATATTTTCCAGAGTACTGGCCATTCAGATTCCCTCCTTGATACAAAGTCATAAAAAGACAGTCCCCTATACTTTCTTGTAAAAGTGTTAGTTTTGTTTTTTCACAATTAGGTCTTTAATCCATGTAAAATTTATTTTTAAGTGTTGTGTAAGATAGGGATCCAATTTAACTCTTTTTCATATGAATAACTGTTTCAGCACCATTAAAGAAATCTTTCCCCCATTCAGATATAATGCCATATGTATCAAGTTTCCATTTGTTTCTGGGTATATTCCTAGGCTTCTCATCATGTTCCACTTCACCATCTGTTACTTTTCCATGCCTGTACCAATATTACAATAAATCTTAACTCCTGTTAGACTGAGCTTCTATACCTCACTCCTTTTCAAAATTATCTTGCCTATTCTGGACTTTTATTCTTCCATATGAATTTGTAGAGGCAACTTAAGTTTCACAAAAACCCTGCTTAGGATTTTTATCAATGCTGTATTGAATTTATAAATTAGGGGAAAATAATAATCTTTACCCTACTGAGTTTTTCCATCCATAAAGATGGCATAACTTCATTTTCTTAGGCTTTCTTTTATCTCTTCCAAAAGTTTTATAATTTTCCCCACAAAGGTCTTGTATATCTTCCATTAAATTTACTCCTGGGTATCTTGTGATTTTCCTTGAAATTGTTAATGATTTTTTTTTTTCCTTTTTTTTGGTCTTTTTTCGTGTCCGGCAACGGATCGCAACCCTCAGTGTCGCGCCCGTACTGGACTGGGACCGGCAACGGGATCGCAACCCTCAGTGTTGCTCCCACACCTCACTCAGCCAGTGAGCGGGAACCGGTCTGTATGTGGGATCCAAACCCTCGGCGGGAGCGCCACTGTGCTCCCAAGAGGCGCACTGTAGCAGTGCACCACCGGGCCGGCCCCGAAATTGTTAATGATTTTAAAAAAGATTATACTTATGACTGCTTATTTCTGGTTTATAAAAACGTAGTTAATTTCATTATAATCATGTTATATCCAGTAATTATATGAAATGTTTTTATTAATTCTAATATCTTGTCTGTAGCTTTTATTGGATTTTCCATGAAGATAATAATCTCACCTGAAAACATCATTTTGTTTCTCCCTTACTAATAACTACATGTATTTTTAATGCTTCTTATCTTCCTGTATTGGCTAGGACACCCACTGCATACTGAATAAAAGTGGCAATTATAGGCATTCATATCCTATCCTTGATTTCAAGGAAAATGTTTCTAATTTTTCACCACTAAAAGAATAGCCTTCATCAGAATAAGGCTGTACCAATCTATTCTTATTCTGTGAAAAGTTTTAGCACCTAATAAGACCTCCAGACCTCCTTAATCTGAATTATATTGTCTACTATTAATCAATCCATGTATTCCTGATATACACCCAATTTTGTCACCTAGGTTGATAACAATGCTAATTTAGTTTTCTTTTATTTATAAATTTTGCTACCATGTTCCCACACGATTGATTGGCCTATAATTTTCCTTTCTCATACTCTCCTCACCTCACCTGATTCTAGTGTGCAGATTATTATCCAGTTTTATAAAATGAGTTGGGAGAGTGTTGACATTTTTTTTCCTGGAATGGTTTAAGATAATATCTATTTGTTGAACGTTTGATAGAACTTGTTTAAACTGTCTGAACATGTTTTTTTCCATTCCCCCCCTTTTAAGGGAGGTAGATTTTGAACTACTGAGTGAGGTATAAGAATTTCAAATTATGACAGATACCATCAAACTGCTCTCTAAAAAAGTTGTACCAATTTATATTCTTATGAAGACTGTAAAATGTTTACCAATCTGATAGAAAATTTCATTTCATTTTAATTTTTTTTTTCATTTCATTTTAATTTTGATTGCATCTCTTCAACTGTAGGCCAAGTTACTATAACTTCATATATCTTTTAAACTCTTCTGTTTTCAATTGGCTGTGTTTTTTTTTTCCAGTAAATAGCCTGTTTACTTCTTTACTCTATTTTTGTCTTGTTCTTATCAATCTGTGTGATATCTTGGTATATTAAAAAATAAATTCTTTGTGTTTATATTAAATGTTGCAAATGCTTTTCCCCATATTTATTTGTTTACATATTTATGTAATTTATCTTCTGTCCTCTTATTCAAAAATTTACCATTAATTTGTTGTTTTCATTTCTGGAATCCAGGTTTTCAGTCTGCTTAGAAATAAAGCTTTCTCAACTATAAGATTACAAAAAAATTTTCCCATATTTTCTTGTAATTTTACAATAAAACACACACACACACACACACACACACACACACACACACACACACACATAAATCTTTTATCTCTCTAGAACATTTTGCTGTAGGAGACCCAGGAGTCCAACCAAAATGTCAAAATGCCTACACAATCACCAACATAATTTATTAAACAATCCATTCTTACATAGTGATTTTAAAATGTTATCTTTAGAATGAAAGAATTTTTAAGAATCACCATTTTCCAATGACCAGTGTAAAAACTGATGAAATGACAATCACTGGATGCTAAATCCTTTAAGTAAAAGATTAATGGAAAATAGGATATTTGGATAATCTCAACGCGTCACTCCCAGGTTACTTACTAATTGCAAAGGAAAGACTACACACTTTTACAATGAAGAGATCAGATGGTCACCACCTAAACTTCACTAATAATGGGACCACCTGGTACTACGTGCCTTTTGATATGATATAATATAAAGTGCACAACATTACTTATGTAGTACTTTTGCCAAAAATATATAACTGAGGCTTGCTGGCAAGCTCACTTGGTTACAGCACGGTGTTATAACACCAAGGTAAAGGGTTCAGATCCCTGTACTGGTCAGTGCCCCCTCCCACCAAACACACACGCACACACACGCACACACACACACACCCTAATAAGGTCAGTGCCCCCTCCCACCAAACACACACACACACCCTAATAAAATCTTTACAGCTAACTTCCAATTGACAGAAAATATAGGGGATATATGAATAAATTAAATAATATAATGAGAAAACTGAAGCCTAGAATATAGGACATTCTACAAAAAAAGGGGCACAGACTCTTCAAAAAAAAATTTGTGTTGGGGGAAAAGGTATAATAAGACTGTTTTAGATTAAAAAAGATATGAGATGGGGCCGGCCCGGTGGCGCACTGCTACAGTGCACCGCTTGGGAGCACGGCGGTGCTCCCGCCGAGGGTTCGGATCCCACATACAGACCGGTTCCTGCTCACTGGCTGAGCGAGGTGCGGGTGCAGCACTGAGGGTTGCGATCCTGTTGCCGGTCCCGGTCCAGTACGGGCGCGACACTGAGGGTTGCGATCCGTTGCCGGACACGAAAAAAGACAAAAAGGAAAAAAAAAAAAAGATATGAGATGTAAAAAGCAAATGGTAACGTGTGAGAAACTAGATTAGATTATTATTTGAAAAGAAAAAAATATATTAAAGACATATTTAGGACAACTGGTGATAAATGGTGAAAATTGAATGTAAAAATGATAAAAACTGAATGTATATCAGATGATATCAAAGAACCGTTCTTAATTGTTTTTTAGAAGTAAATCATTTCATTTCGTGTTTATACAGGAGAATCTCCTCCTTCTTAGTAGATGTGTTTAAGAGTAAAGTGTCATGTTGCCTGTTGGTAAAGGAATTCATTGTGCTAATCTTTCAACTTTTCTGCATTGTTAAAATTTTTATAATGCAGGTTGAGCACCCCTAACCCAAAATGATCCAAAATCCAAAACTTTTTGGGCAGCCAATATGACGCTTTTTCAGGAAATGCTGATGGGAACATTTTGGATTTTGGATGCTTAACTGGTATGTATTCTGCAAATATTCCAAAATCCAACTCTGAAATCCAACTTCTGATCCTGAGTATTTTGGATAAGGGATACTCAATCTGCATTATAAAGACGTAAAGTTGAAACAGATGTTTTAAACATTATCTTTCTCATATTCTAAATTGCCTTATTTCTGGATTCTTTTTGTCTCATTGACCTATTCATTTGTTTTTGCCAGACCAAATTTTTTTATTTAGAATAACTTTAATATCTGGGTGGGCTAATCCCTGAATAATATTTTTATGGTTCTTCAAGTATCTTGAGCATTTCTAAGAAATGAGTCATTACTGAACAGGTCCTCAAACTATATTTCTCTTTTGATTTTGTGATTTCAATTTATTCTTTTGAAAAAACTGAGTTTATTTTGCTAAAAAACATCATCACAGTATTTAGAGTACAGTAATCTCCCCTTATCTGTGGTCTTACTGTCTGCAGTATCAGTTACCCATGGTCTGAAAATATTAAATGGAAAATTCCAGAAACGAACAATTCATAAGTTTTAAATTGTGCATCCTTCTGAGTAGTGTGATGAAATCTTTCACTGTCCCATTCCACCCGGCCTGGGACATAAATCATCCCTCTGTCCAGAGTATCCATGCTGTATATGCTACCCGCCCATTATTCACTCAGCAGCCGTCTCAATCATCAGATGAAGAAACATAACATAACATATATAGGGTTTGATACTATACAAGGTTTCAGGCATCCACTGGGGTCTTGAAACTTATGCCCTGCAGATAAAGGGGAACTACTGTAAAAATTTATGTTCCCTCCTATGCATACTCATGTGTATATGGACATTGACTTAAGAAATAAATGTGCCCTTCTGACATTCTTCCTCTGATTAATTACATTTAAAATGTTCCTCATATCTGTGTGCCAAAGTACACTAACATTTTACAAATATTAAGAATCTACATATATATATATATATATATACACAAAAAAGTATGTTCAGCATCACACTAAATTCAATAATTTTGGAAATGTCTATTCCAAATGTGTCATTTGCCTCCCAGTGTCTCCTTGAGTTAAATTAAGTGTGTAAAATGGTCTCAACCTAAATTCACTATCTAGTTTTGAAAAGCCAGAAGTTGGCTGATTTGATAGATGACTAAATTAAAAGTTTATAAGTTAAAAAGTTTATAAATGATGGAAATTTCAACTCCATACATAAAAACAAGAAAACACATATCGGAACTAATGACTGACAGCAAATGTTTAAAATTTGCTATTAATTATGAAGGAGAAAAACATAGATGTTTATTATATTATCTTTTGTACTTTTTCACTTTTTAAAAACATTTCTCAAAGTACAAATAAATTTATACTAATAATAAATCAATTATTTAGTAGCCATGAAATACATCTCAAGGCCATATAACCTTAAAAAGATCATAATATCAACACCAAGATATTGGGGACAAGAATTGATTGAGAACTAGTAATCTAATCCCAGAAATTTCTGCATCTAAGATTATTAATTATCCTTTACTACAGCCACATTAAATTTGTATAGTATATATTTTACCAATTAAAATGTAATTGTTCTTTGGTTTAGTGCTACTGGAAAAACAAAGCCCAATTAAAAAAACAGTTCTTATTTTCATAACTAAATACACTCATTTATATAATAACATAATCCAAAAAGCCAAAATATCACTGCTCCTTTCACCTCCTAAATGAATTCGTAAATGATAAATGTAACATTTTTAAAATGATTTAAGCCATATCATTAAAAAAAGTTTATTGACAAATAAGTATACAGCATAGTACTCGCATTTTAGTTTGTATTTTAAAAATTATAAAAAAAAAATAATAATTTGTTTGGAATTATAACAAATTAGGCATTCCCAGTAAGACAACAAACAACTTTCTTACCTTGCTGCATCTGTGGATGTGTTGTGTAACTTGAAGGATGGGAATATGGCATGTATCCTGCAGGGCTTTGTGGGGCATATGGACTAGGCACTGGGCTATTTTGTTGTGGCAAAAATCTGTTCCCAGAGCTTGTCTGTGGTGGCACAAACCGGCTAAAACCCGAAACCCAAATAAAGAATATCAGGCAATGAAATAAACATGTTATTCCTTGAAATTTCACTGCCATAAAATTCTCTGAACTCTAATTTATATATCATAAAATCTATGCAAAAAAAATTTTGCAAAATAGTTAAATAACATACAAAAATCATTCATAATTCATAATGTAAGAATTTGTAAAAACTGAGGTAATTTACTTTATTTATGAGGGTACTTCAAAAAGTTGATGAAAAAATAGAATTAAAAGATAATATCAATCTTTCTAAGAACTATTTAAAGTACACTCATACATAAATGTACCAATTTGTTTAAGGTATATAAAGCCATGCTCCCTAAGATAAATTCTACTCTATAAATTTTCATATTTATTTCAAATACATCTGTTATTTTAATACATACTTTTGTCTGTATAAAATAAAGTTACTAAGATGTTAGCTACTTCAAATATTATGTCAGAGTATTGCCACATACAACATTTAAAGCAAATGTTCATGTGGATTACTATTTAAGAGTAAATATTTAAACTATTTAACTACACATAATTCACCATTATCTAAATGTGTACACTGTATATTCACAAGCATGTTCTCCACAGAAGACAATACTTAATAAATGATATGTACATATGTGTGTATATATTACCTGGAGGGGCTATGTGAGATAGTGGTTTGTTGATAATTGGAAGATGCAGGACTACTGTGCATGGAATTCTGAGAAAGTTTGTACTGAGACATCATCATTCCTATGCAACACACAAAAACATAAAAGGTTATTTTCTCCTAACAATAAAGTATCCATTAAACAACTTAAATCAGTCATTCTCTGAGAAACATTCAAAAGTTCTTTATTTTTTTTCACCAATGTTCTAATTTTGAAGAGCAAAATATAAGCATCATAAAACCATAAATCAAGTACAACCAATTTTTTCCAAAACAGCATTTTCCATAATATCATTTCCAAATTATCATTTTCATTTAATCCAGGACCAGAAATAGAGACTACTACTATTTTTAAATTTCACTTGCTAACTAATGTTTTACCATTTAGCCTCAGAAATGAAAAGAATTTTTAGAAGTCACCTTATCTAACCTTTTATCAAATACTATACACTTCCTTCTGTAACAGGACTTGGGCAGTTTTTTTTTAATTATATGGAATACTTACTTTATCATATATATCTCCTGTGCTTAGGAACTTAATTTCACAAAGCTATTTGTTTCATTGTGGTTCGGACCCTAGATTTTAAAAAACACTTTATTTATAGGTCCAAAGTCTGAGCTCCTGCAATTTCCATCTGAAGGTCTTTTGAAGCAAAACAGAATTTAACGTGTATTTCTTCTACAATAACCCTTTGCCACATAGTAGGGATTAAATGATTATTTAATTAATGAATGAAAATGTGAGGACAGCTTTCAGATTCTTACATTTCTTTTCAAGCTAGACATTATTCCTTAATTGTTACACAAGTGGTATTTTGTTATACAGGACATACAAAAAATTCAGTTACTTAGACATTTGAAAATCAGAGATAAAAACTTATGACTAACCCTGAATTTTCTTATGATTTCCATAGACAAAAATCTCTTTTGGGGCACTGCAAGCATCAAATTAGATTCCCAAATTTCATTTCCTGCTGTTGATATGAAAAGTGCCTTTCCCCAGAAATATTCAATCGGAAGTTACATGTTCATTTGCCAGTAATATTACAGAAGGCACTGCAGCTCTAAAGTCAGTAGTTGATTGAAATTAAGGCTCAAAATCACCTCAAAATCTACTACTGATAGTGTATTTTCTTACTTAGGTAGTCTAAATTTCAACTTTTTTTTTTTTTTTTTTTTTTTTTTTTTTTTTTTTTTTTTTTT